GTGCCTTTGTAACTTTGAACTACAGGAACTGTTGTAAGTCCAGAACTTTCTTTACTCTGAAATAAAAACTGTAATGAAAGAATCTGCATGGGAATATATCTTTATGTATGTATGTGTGTGTATGTATGTATATATGTATGCATATATGTGTATGTATGTATATATATGTGTGTGTGTAGGGGGGGTATATGTGTGTGCGTGTGTGTATATATACACACATATATATACACACACATATATACATACATACATACATACACACACACACACACACACACAAAGGTTGCCACCATTGGTATAGTGAATATTTAAAGAAATGTTAAATGAGCTCTGAACATCTCACCTCTTTGGATATATCGTTCCTTTCGGCAGTTATGGCCTTATGGGAAACCTCTAGTATTTCGTATTTCCTTCGGAGCTCTGAAAATTCATGTTCAAAAGTATCCCGCTCACTGTTGAGAGAAGAACATACTACTGTATCATCAGAAGAACTACTTTAAAGTTTCTAATTCTCGCGCCACCTCCTCCTTGGGAGGAAATTCAACCCTATAATAATTAATATTTTCTCCATTGATCACAACTGAAAGCCAGTTTCAGTTTTTTCGTAAATCCAAATTTGCTCTGCTAGCAGGACTTGGATTTTTTTTTTTCAAAATACTTTCTGAGAAACCTGAATGGGCCAGAACCAAGAGGACAAGATTTGCCAAGATCATCCACCAGACAGCTATTTTAAGCTCTTTTGTTTCAGCGCAATTTCTTTCACAATGCTCAGATTTGTGCTCCTTGCAATCCTATAAAAAAAAACAGAGAGCAAATTTCCCCTTGAGCTGCTCATTGTCACAAGAGAAGGTTTCCGGCATGAATTAAGCAACTCTTCAAATGCCCAATGCGCGATTCAAAAGACAATCATAAATCTTAGAGGAATTATAAAGGAAGTAGACAATTACGGAGCTCAACCTATCTACTATTGGAAATTCCCTCTGATTACAGTGTCAGCTGGTGGCTTTGTAGCCTCTGCTTAAAAGCCACTAAGAAAAGGAAGAATGTGATGCAAATTGTTCCATTATCCAGCAACCCATAAAAACCTGGAAGGTCTTTTTAACCATAACTGCAGAGAAGAGCCACAACAATGATTAAGGGACTGAAGGCTTAAAGCATATAAAGAACGGTTGCTGGAATGGGGTATGTCTAGTTTAACGAAAAGAAGGATGAGGGATGACATGATAGCAATCTTCCAATATCTCAGGGGTTGCCACTAAGAAGGAGGAGTCAAGCTATTCTCCAAAGCACCCGAGGGCAGATCAAGAAGCAATAGATGAAAACTAATCAAGGGGAATGTCTAGGGGGGATTCTTAAGTTATCCAGGTCATGGTTGTCCCAAAGCTGCTTTTTCAAGAGGCAACTGGACTTTCTGGTTTCTTTTTCCTCTTGAAGACATTTCACTTCTCATCCAAGAAGCTTCTTCAGCCCTGACTGGATGGTGGGGAATGGAAGGATTTATATTCCTTGCACACAGCTGGTCATTTGCAGTGTTTTAAAGAATGAGGAACATCCTGCGAATGTTGCAGAAGTATGAATGATTTCCCCCTACCCAAAAAAAAAAATTGCGGACCACAGGAATCATTTGCGCTTCAGTTTCTGATGGAGACAACCAGGAGTGGGTTTCTCGCCCCGTTCCAGCCGGATCGGTTGGAACGAGGCCGGCGGCGTCCTCGCGCACGCACGCGGCGCATGCGTACTAGCGTCTGTGCGATGCTCCAGCTGCTCCTGGAGGATCG